AAGGTATGGTGGGAGCAGGCATAGGCTTCCTCCGGTGGAGGTTTTTCAGTGAGCACAGACCTCTGTGGGCATGCTCATCCCCACACTGATCTTGGGGAGCTAACTTTGTTCCCTGATATTATCAGTCCTGGGAGGCAACTATGTACAGAATCAACATTACAGTCTTGGGCTCACAGTGCAGCATGAAGGGAAAAACTGTAGCTCAGAGTGCTGGCCCTGGGGCAGTGAGTTTGAGCCTAACCTTGGCCTGATTTTAAAAACAAAAACAAAAACAAAAAAACTTTTTTTAAAGTAATGATTTTCCTTTACACTGTAGTATACAAACTAATAATTACCTTATATAAACCAGCTTTAGTAATTGAGTCCAGTGCCTTGTGCATATTAGTATGAATTCTGGGGCCTCAACTATTCTTATTTATTCTAAGTAAAGCATAGGTATTTAAGTGGTTTGTTAAAAAATATATTGCTCAGTAGTACAGAATATTTTACGACCTTGCCAGTGTTTTCCATTTTCTAAGCAGCTTCTAGGAGTTGGTGTGGTGCTGGCCCGAGGGTCTGGGCCTCTCAGGATCCGTTTGTGTTTGCTCAGCTCTCCCCTTGTTTACATTTCCAGTGTGAAGTGCCGGAGGGCGGACTGGTCCCCAAGTCGCTGTACAGGACTGCAGAGGAGCTGGAGAACGAGGACCTCAAGCTCTGGACAGAGAGCATCTACCAGTCTGCGAGTGTGTTCAAAGGCGCCCCGCACGAGGTACCCTGCCTGGCACCCTGCTCTGACCTCTGCCAGCTTTCCTTCAGAACAGTAAACCCGTTTTTCTGGTCTCTGTCTTTAGATTTTCGTTGACACTTGGTATTTGGTTTTGGTAAATGTCAGCATGGAGGAGTGAATCTCTCAGACTCACTCAGGAAGCAGCTGTGCTCGTCAGGTGATGAGGATACCCGGAGGAATTCTGATTTTTCGCCTTCCATTTTACTAAAGACCCTCAGCACAGAGGTCCGAGTAGCAGATCTTTCCCTGTAGGAAGATTTGGCTCCTGAATTTAGTATATTTAATGGTTATAGAATAAGTTTTATTTGATGATTTTTCTTGACTAGCTTTGGTTATTTATGTTTTAAGGAATTTGCTGACTTTTCTAAGTCTTAATTTGATCAAGGAGAAATGGCACATTTGTTTCTTTTTTGCTGGCATGTTGTGGTGAAGAAGTAGGAGTGTGCTGTGCTCTTATGCACCTGTGTCTGTGCTGTAGCATCGTGGGTGACCTGACCTGCACCTGGACTTGCCCTTCCTTAGCTCTAGGGCAGTGGTTCTCAACCTTCCTAATGCCGAGAGCCTTTAATACAGTCTAAAGGGGTTGTGACGCACAAGTTGAGAACCGCTGCTTTAGGGGAAGGTTTGTGGCTCAGAGTTATTGGAGAGTATGGTGGCACTTTGTACAGAGCAGGTGTTGAGTGTGACTTTGAGGCTGGCTTGGGCTGGTAGTGGTGGCCCAGAGCTGACCCCTTCCTACTTTCTGCCCTCACGGCACCTGGCTCAGGTCATTTCTGGGATCAGTGCCTTCCCATATGGCCACCCTGACACTTGTGAGGCAAGTGCGCAAGGAAATCCTGCTGCTGTGATTTGAATAAGCGGAGGCGACTTTGGTGGACCTTACTCAGGATGCTACAGGGGGAGTCTCAGATTTCCTGACTGTTTTGAGGATTATGTGTTAGAGGGCAGGCTCGATGAAGCAGAGTCCTTGGTTGTTGTTTATTAAGTAACTGTCGAAGTCGTGCATATTTGAAGAACTTAGGGACAAGGTATGTTTCAAGTGAGTCACAGGGCATCTGTAAACATGAAAATGGTAAAAACTTCAGTTCTCTTCTGGGGATTAAAGTACAGATCCAAGACAGTAGTACACCTAAAATGCAGGACAAATTAAGTGTCCTATTGTGACTGCAGGAAGGAGGTGCCTATCAGCATGGAGGCCAGGGTCTCAGCGTGGGTCTGCTGTGGGGAGCCACTTTGCTGCAGAGTTGGCTGTGCCATGTAGTGCCACCTGCTGCTCTCGGGTCTGTAAAAAGGCATTCAGCAGTGGGAGGTGGCAGTGGTAGGACCCAAGGAGGAGTCTGGCTCACAGAGCCACCAGTGCAGAAGGTATGGTGGGAGCAGGCATAGGCTTCCTCCGGTGGAGGTTTTTCAGTGAGCACAGACCTCTGTGGGCATGCTCATCCCCACACTGATCTTGGAAAGCTAACTTTGTTCCCTCCTGGGAAGCTTTCTAACTGCAGCACGTAAGTTCAGGTTTGAGATCGGCACTCCGCAGATGGGGCACTCCCACCTCTACCCCCAGAAAGCCACCCAGCCCCGACTGCCACCGTGCCCTTGTGCAAGCCTCATGTGGCAGGCCTGTGCCTGTGCCCCTGCCTTGCCCCAGCTCAGGGCCCTGCTCTCGGGCCCTCTGCCTGCTGTTTATCTTGCTTCTGCCTTCTCTGGGCCTTTCCAGTGCTCTGCAGCTTCAGATGGGTTGGAGTGCTGTCAGCAGGCTGGGGACTGGGATCCTTGGGCTGTAAATCTGGGTCACAAAGAACGCAGGGCCTGGTGGACAAGGCTTAGGGCGGGGAGCATTGGTTAAAAGAACGACAAGAGCGAGTGTGAAGGCCAAATGGTGGCATGTCTCTGTAAGAGACTTGTCCACAGAGTCCCAGCACAGACATTGGGCTGAGCAGCCCTGGAGAGGACAGTGCTGTCACGGTGTGGTATGGGACTGGGTGCTCATGGGGCTTGGTTGGCTGGTGCCGCCTGTCTTTCCAGGTTCTCATTCAGATTGTGGATGCCTCTTCGGTGATCACTTGGGATTTTGACGTGTGCAAAGGGGACATTGTCTTTAACATCTATCACTCCAAGAGATCCCCACAACCACCCAAAAAAGACTCGCTGGGGGCCCACAGCATCACCTCTCCAGGAGGGAATAACGTGCAGCTCATAGACAAAATCTGGCAGCTGGGCCGTGACTACAGCATGGTGGAGTCGCCTCTGATTTGCAAGGAAGGAGAAAGCGTTCAGGTAACACCACGCCTCAGATTCCCTGTGGTGGCGACTCTGTCTCGAGAAGTAAGAGTCTTTTGCTTCATCCCCTCACCGTCCCCCCCGCCCAGAAGCCTGTACAGCTTCTTGAGGTGCCGCCTGTGCACACGCCGTTAGGTGTGTGCAGATGTGTTTCTGCTGCTTGACAATCAGGGGGACCCAGGAAGCCACGTGAGCCCTGGAAGAAAGGCGCTCAGCCTCAGCAGTGGTTTTGGATAGAATCCATGACTTACATCTAAAGCGCATGGATTTTCTCAAAAGCAGCACATGACAGGAAGGAAAGAGCGTTACATGCTCGTGTACAGCTGGGTTCCAGAAGACTTCCACTGAGGCATAATTTGACCATGGCGTGTTTGTCTTTTTCAAAGGAAAATCACCCTAAATAGAAGTGAGAGGAACAAACACTTAGAGAACTATTAACTCTCATCATCAAACACTCTAATTTGTTTAAAAGTGCTGTCAGTTCATTTTTAACATTTTGGCCAGCTATTTTGAGTGCTCTGCCCTTCATAATGGATGCATGATTTTGCTGCCTTTGCAGTTCTCAGGGATAAGCCTGTCATTCGTCTTAGGTACAGATTAAAATCATGAACATTTTAAGCTGCATTATCGGTCTTTAATTCCAGAATTAATGGAGAAAGTAATTTTCATAGACTGATGTTCTCCTGTAGATTGATAGCCTTTTACGCATAATCTGCTGGTGGATTATTGGAATCATGTCAGAGAAGGAATTGCCTAGTCCCAAGAACCTCCGCTGAGCCCCCAGCCCAAGCAGACAAGCAGAGGGCTTCTCCAGAGCTCTGCCAGGCACCTGCTTCTGCGTGGCCTCCCTCCCCATGGGGGAATGGCCTCATCAGGACGACAGGTGCACAGTCTGTCCCTGCGGCCTTCCCAGCACACAGCAGAGGCCTTGCCACATTCAGCAGATGGAGGACATTATTGAATTCCTGATAGTGAACCAAAATAGCAGGCCTTTAATCCTGCAGAAATGGTCACGTAGTTACTGTCAGATGCTAATGAGACGTGGAGACACTGCCCTTGGCATTTGTCAGAGCCATTTTAGGGGAGGGATCAGAAGGAAGCCCTCCTCAGCTGCTACTGCCATACTTGTTTTAGGGCTCACATGTGACCAGGTGGCCGGGCTTCTACATCCTGCAGTGGAAGTTCCACAGTATGCCCGCGTGTGCCGCGACCAACCTGCCCCGGGTGGACGACGTGCTGGCCTCCTTGCAAGTCTCTTCCCACAAGTGCAAAGTGATGTACTACACCGAGGTGATCGGCTCTGAGGATTTCAGGTGCGGCTCCCCTGCCCACAGCTGCTGGGTGTGGTTAGACAGAGGCTGGAGTTCCGTGTTGCCTGTGGGGGTCAACAGTGACAGTGGGTGATAGGATGCTCAGGGAATAGTGTTAGGGTCATTGTTGGCACCGAGACTCCCTGCACATGTGCAGTGGGAGGTGGTCAGGGAGGCCTTACCACCTGCTTCTCCATATCTGTGCACAGGCCGTGGCAGCTGCTCTCCCAGGTGGGACACTCAGCCCCTCTACTTTCTAAGTGCCACTGGGGCAGAGGGCAGGGTGGGCAGGTGGGCTACTTTCAGGTGGGTTCTCATGCCCTGCCCCCCCCCATGCTATTTGCAGAGGTTCGATGACCAGCCTGGAGTCTAGCCACAGTGGGTTCTCCCAGCTGAGCGCCACCACCACCACCTCCAGCCAGTCCCACTCCAGCTCCATGGTTTCCAGGTAGTGCCGCGATGCCTGTGCCTGGCGTGCGGAGGGGATGGCCACGCCTGCTCGGACAGCCAGCCGCACTCCGCCGCCCCCATGGCGACATTGTGCAGACTCCTCACCTCTAGATAGCAAATAGCTCTCCAGATGGTTAATGTAGTCATTTGACCCCAGAACTGTCTTGGCAGGTAGTTTTAACTCTAACCCTAACTCAATAGCCATAGATTTTGTATACAGTGTGCACAAAGTCAGAGCACAAGGGCTCTCCTAGGAGAAAAGCAGTTTATATACTAATTAAGAGTGACTTTATCTCAAATATTGATGCAAAAAATTTTTCCAACAAACTCCACATTGTCCATTAGTGAGTGAATTCCTGTGACATCCTTCAGAGATGAGTCCCACCTCCTCCCACGGAGCAGAAGCTGCCAACTGGTTTCCCCTAAACTGCACTGTAGTCCTTATGTCTCCTTGCTGGTAGTCAAGATGGCCCTTGAGGTCCCTTCTCCTCTGAGGCTTCAAGGGCAGTCTGAGGAGCACCCAGTCCCCGGCCCCATCCATTCACTGTTCTAAAGTGGGTGCAGTGGCTCAGGAGGGACTCCCAGGACTCCCTGCGACTTGAGGAAAACGCCGCCATCATTAAACATTACAGTCTTCTTCCTCCTCTTCAAATCTCTTTGATATTTTCAGACCAGGATTTTTCTGTGTGTCAGCTTGGGTATAGGGGATTCTTCCCCCTTTTTCTTCTGTCGCCCTTAACTGCAGCGTGTTCTGAATGCATCGTAGGTCCATCTCTGTGCTCGCTAGTGGCTTTCTGCCCTCAGAAAGGTAGCCTTTCTGGTCACTGGAGGGTATTTTGGAAGCAGAGTAAGTCACATTTGCTATGTTAACACTTTACAGTGTGTTTTTAACTAACCAGCACAGCACCCCATATTGCCACTTGAGAGTGGCGTTTGGCTTGTAGGAGCCCTGCTTCTTTGTGCGTGGAAATTGTAGACGTGTGTGTGTGCATGCGTGCGATGGGTGCTGGTGGGAGGGGGCAAATAGAAACTTAGGTCAGGTCACAGAGGATTCTCCATAGAAGCAAATCAGTGTGAGGTTAATTTGCCTTTTACATTTATGTTTGATTCCTGATGAGCAAGCTGCTCTATCTGGTGTAGGCCCTCATTTTTTTCAACTTTTATGGGAAAAGCAGTTACTTGTGAATCTGTCCAAGAGTAGCATAGGAGTAGCCTCCATGATGAGGACATGAGATGTGTTCTTATGTATGGGCAGAGACTGTGCTTTTAAAGGTGTGTGCTGAAACCTACACAGCTGTCCTGTGCGTGCATGGTGGGCACGTACGTGCTAGATTGCGCTGTCCTGGCTCCACTCTGAAGGTGCTAGTGGTGCTGTGTGACTGCAGAGCCATGGAGGCCGCTTGCCCTGTGGAGGGGTCTGGGAGGGCTGGGGCAAGACCAGGCAAGCCCTCGCAGCGGCCTGCATGCTGAAGACGGCTCTGGGCCTCTCCCGGGCTTGCCTGCCTTTCTGGGGCACAGCTCTGTGTTTCCTTTAGGGGATGAGCCCCTCACTGCACCTGAGGCCTGTCTCCCACAACACGGCAGGGGCAGTTAGTGCCTCCGAGCCGACTCCACTCAGCGCTTCCCGTTTCCAAATTATAAGGACCTGAGAAGGTCCCTGCTTTCTCTTTCTTCTCTCTTTCTCTGTGTCTCAGATGGCGATTTTGCTGACAGCTGCCAAGAAAACGCTCCACTCAACAGTCCTCATGTGCCCAGAGATGTTTATAGAACTATTTGAATTGCAGCCATCCCCCCACCCCCAGACTGAAGATCTGTTCTTTTTAAGTTGGTTCAGGAGTGGCGCGGTTTTACCCCTAGAGTTTAATGCATCTCTAGAGTTCAAAGCACATGACTGCACAGCATTCGCAGGGCCTGCTCTGAGTAACACCCCACCACGCTCCTTGGGAGGAGGCCGTGGGGCATCTGGGGTTTGAGTATGCAGTTTGTGTATGTCTCTCTACTTTTAGTACCTTGCCACTCTTTTTAAAATGCTGCTGTCATTTCCCTTTTTTTCCCTCAGTACTAATGATTCTTTGGTTTTCCCTCTATTACCAGTGTCTTAATTCACTTTCCTTCCTAAACTCATTATTTGCATATCAAATTCTGTAAATGTTTTGTAAACATATTACCTCACTCTTGGTAATACAATACTGATAGTCTTTAAAAGATTTTTTTATTGTTATCTATAATAAATGTGAACTGTTTAAAGAAAAAAAAATGTCTTTTTCTTGTTGTGAAATGGCAGTCTCTCTTGAAGGCTTGAAATTCCTAGGGGATTTGAGAGGTTAAAGAAAGAAGACAGCTTCAGAACCCAGAGTCCTGGTGTTCTGGAAGTCCAAGAAGGGTGTTTAGCTTGTGCAGGACTATATTTTACAGGCAAGTAAACCATCCTGCAGACAAGTCCCGACCGGTTTGCTGATGCAGAAGAGAAACCCAGTGTTTGTAATCTCCTCACTTCTATAAAAAGATATTATATACCCTCTCTTAAAATCAGCCGGATCAAACATGACTATTACCTTATGATACCTGATGTGATGTTTCTTTAGTCCTTACTAAAAGGGGTCACTTTAATCAGGTGCCTTGCAGAAAATGAAAACAGGCAAGTGTGGGCCTTCAGAGGGTTCACCTGACCCTGGCCTGGTGGGTGGGTCTGCAGGGCCAGTGTGGCCTGAGGGCAAAGCAGACTGCTGTCTCCACAGAGCACAGGGCAGGTGGGGAAGAAGCTTGTGGCTGGCTTGGCAGAGTGCAGAAGCCAGTGTCGTCTCCACCAGGAACTTGAAGGTCATTTGCTTTCCCGGTCAGGGTCTCTGTGTTGGTGGGACATAGCTAAGGGGTCTGGCAGTACCTAGGGTAGGAAGTGGCAATGCCTGAAGGTGTCATGCATTTTTGTGGTGTGGCCTGGGCTGTGTGTCCACAGGCAGTCAAGGAGGTGACTTCCTAACCACAGCTGCACTGAAGTCACTTACGATGACTGAGCCTGCCTGCAATTAAAAGGAGGGAGACTTCACACGGACTCCTCCTGTGCACCCTGTTGAACCAGACCCAGTTTACAAGCCTTTGGTTTGGCAGGCTGGTCCTCGAGGTGGAAGTGGGAGGCGGCCTGGGAGTAAGCGAGGCCATGGGTGTCTCTGCCCACAGCTCGTCCTGACTGTCCTCAGGAAGTGCCACGCTGACGTGGAATGCCCTGAGTAGCAGTCATCATGTTTTCATCTTGGGCAACCGAACTGTTAATACAGAAGGTGCCCAAAAAGGTGTACACATTTTAAGAAAGGAAAAAACTGTATTAAAATTGTGATTCTACATATTGATAACAAAAGATGAATACAGTCACTTCTTAGCCTTTTGGCTAAGATCAAGTGTAGTACAAAAATGAATACAGTCATGTTTGAGCACCTCTTGTAATTGCAGAAGTCACATGTGACTGTTACATATGTAAGTTTTTTCTGTTTTTAAAATGTGTGTACATTTTCTTGATGCCCTCTATATGTGTTTCTTTAAACATATCATATTTCCTTTAATACCAAGTCTCTATGGAACTCTGACCAGCGCCCAAATTGTCGGTTGTCTTCCAGTTCCCGAGTCACGGTGGAGGTGGCCTTGTTAACGCCATCACAAAACAAATTGGAATCAGTTTTGCTTGACAAGTAGGGCTTTGGAAAGTAGGGGATTCTGGAAAGATGGTTGTGGCTCTCCACCTAAAAATAACTAGATTGTAAAACCTGAAATGGGGGTCCAATTGAATTGCCCATTTCTAAATGGTTAAAATGTCAGCATTGGTCATATGGATTTGACCTTAAGAAAACCCTGTGGACGTCATTTACCACAGACTAGGTAGTGAAGTATCCCCCATAGGCTCCCAAATGGAGATGTGTTGGAACAAACTACCAGTGGTCACAGACCCACCTGACCCACAGGTTTTTCAGTGTTTTGGGGGAGAAAGCAGAGGTGACAGATAAGCGTCTGAGGGATGAGAGTGGGAGAAGCCCTGGAGGGACCATGGCCAGTGAGCACACAGCAGGTGACTCAGGGCTGCCACCAGAGAGGCCTAGGTGGAGGGAGCAAACTAGCCAGCCCCTCTGAACTCCCCAAACTTGCCTGCCAGGGCCCCTTCTAGGAAAGGACCCCCCACTGAGGAAAAACAGCTTAGAGTGGAATAAAAATTAAGCAGGATGAGAACAAAGTCCAGGCTGGGACGGTGGTGGGTGAGGCAGCTTGCTTGGAAAGCAGATGGACATGGTTTGAACACTGCTAAACCATGGAAGAGGGAGCTCTGTAAAACTAGAGACATCCTTTTTTTTTTTTTGAGACAGAGCCTCAAGCTGTCACCCTGGGTAGAGTGCTGTGGCATCACAGTTCATAGCAACCTCCAACTCCTGGGCTCAAGCAATTCTCCTGCCTCCACCTCCCTAGTAGCTGGGACCACAGGCACCCGCCACAATGCCCGGCTATTTTTTGGTTGTAGCTGTAATTGTTTGGCAGGCCCGGGCTGGATTCGAACCTGCCAGCTCAGGCGTATATGTCTGGCACCTTAGCTGCTTGAGCCACAGGCACCGAGCCAGAGACATCCTTTTTTCCCCTGAATTAATATGTGGTACACGTTATTAGGTTCCATTGTTTGCATTTGTACAGTGAAGGCCAAGTGCAGCTGAGTCCTTCACACAGGAAGTGTGCCGTATGCCTGTGTGTTGTACCTGTTAGGTGGGAACTTACCTCTCCTACCTCCCAGAGATGCTTTCTTGAAGCTCACTTCATTCTGAAAGTTTATGAGATACTTTTATGTAAAAATTAGCTCAGGCAAGTATCAAAGTCAAATCCAGACAAAGCCGAGAATAATATCCCTACACACAATGGAAGCAAGCCAGGAAGGTGCACTTGTAGGACGGGTGAA